TCTATGATTTTTTTGAAAATATTTTCTGGACCTTGGAGCCTGGAGTCTTCTTTTTCATCAATTCCTATTATTCTTAGATTTTGTCTTTTCATAGCATCCTTGATTTCTTGGATATTTTGTGATTGGAATTTTTCTGATTTTACTTTTTCTTTGAGAGAAGTATCAATTTCTGCAAGTGTGTCTTCAGCTCCAGAGATTCTCTCTTCCATCTCTTGTATTCTGTTGGTGATGCTTACTTTTGTGGTTCCTGATCTTTTCTCCAAGTTCTCCAGCTCAAGAGTTTTCTCACTTTGTGTTTTCTTTATTGATTCTAATTCTGTTTTCATGCCTTGCACCATTTCTTTTATGTGTTTGAATTTGGATTCCTGTCTCTCTACGATGGACTCTATTTCTTTGTTCATTTCCTTTTTTGTATGCCACTAATTTCTTCTCTACTTGTGCCTCTATTTGTTTGGCTATGTTTGCCTGTGTTTCTTTAAGGGTTTTGTCTATTTCTTCTTTCTTTACCTCCAATTGACTGGCCATCTCTTTGAAAGATTTGTTCATTTCCTCCTTATGAGCCTCAAATAATTGAGCAAGCATGGCTTTAAGGTCATTTTCCTGTGCTTCTGATGAATTGGAATATCCATCGATTTTGGGGTTTGCTGGTGAAGTCATGATGTCCTGATTTATGTTGGAAATGTTCTTTCGCCTACCCCTGGCCATTGGCTTATCTGAGACCTTCCCTGTTTGTTTTTGGATTCAGCCGATCAGACTGGTACTGTCTCTCTCTCGAGTCTGGAGAATTCTTCAGGAAGTTGAGAGAGGTCCCGTGTCCTTAGCGTATGCTGAGGACTAGCTGTACAGGCAGGACACTTGGCAGAGATCGGCGTATCTGGGCTGTCTGCTCTCTGGTTTGGCCCTGCTTCTTTGATGTGCTCCGCCAGTTCCGTGCTGCTGTCACTGCCAGGTTATGAGGTCTTGCTGCAGCTGGAGATTTCAGGGTGGTCACGTCAGTGGGAATCGGGGTAACCAGCCTTTCTGTTCTCTGGTTTGGCCCTGGTTAGTCTTAAACTGGAGGGCTGATGTGCCCCGCCAGCTCAGTGCTGCTCCGCCGCCAGGTTAGAAAGTCCCGCTGTAACTGGAGACTGGGTTGCTAGTCCAGATGCTTTCTGGGAAGTCCTGGGGTCTCTTTACTGTGCTCTCCAAGCTTCGGAGGCCCAGCGCCTGGTGTGTCTAGCTTGTATGGCGTTTCTGTCTGGTTTTGGTGAGTATATAGCGTATTCTCTGTCACTGTGGTATTGGGCAGGCCGTACCGTCAGTGATCGCGATCCTGTGGAGCTAGTATGGCGTCTAGCAGACTCGGGCCCTGGGAGGATGGTGCAGCCGCCGAGCGAATCTGGGGCTCTGCTGGCCTTTGCCGATAAAGGGCTTGGGGCTCCGCCTCAGTGGCTGCAGGCCCCAGGCAGTTAGGTCTGCGCTGAGAAAGGCGAGTCCGCTGTGCCGAGGAGGAGGGAGGTCTGGGGGAGGGGAGTGCCGAGAGATCAA